GTGTGTGTGTGTGTGTGTGTGAGAGTGTGAGAGAGAGTGTGTGAGTGAGAGTGTGTGTGTGTGTGTGTGTGTCTGTGTAGGTGCATTAAGCGGCGTGTGACCTCCGACCCGCTGATGCTGGAGTCTAAACGACTGGCCATCACTCTGCTGTTTCTGATTATTTCTGACCGCCTCGTCCTTTAAAGCTCGACCTCGCCGCTCAAACCGCTGCACTGCCCTGCAGTCACAAACCCACCTGGAATCCAATAAGGTTTGACCTCAGAATCTGGTCAGCAGCGTCTGATTGAACTCGACGCTCATCCATACAGCGCCGTGCTCAGCACAGACCGACACAACACAGCTTCAGAGCAACCAGAGAACCAGTCTTGTTCATCAATCATGAGACCAACTCGACTCCAGATGTAAAGCAGCTCTACTGAGCTTTAAAAGAATTCATATTCAGTAATATTATTTAACGCACGGACACTATCAGATGAGAACCGAACAAAGACTCTGCTTTACAGAGGAAACTGAATTCATTTCATAATTGATGAATTTTACAACAGTGACACTAAATTGAGAAGAACAATTCAGTGTTATTTTTAAATTTTTAGTCATTAATAATTTAGTCATTCAAGTAATGTTTTGATGAGATGTTCAAGAAGTGCTTTATGGTTTTAGTTTAAGATAATAACCCAGGAGACACTACAGTCTTCTGTAGAACTGAAACCAAATGAGTTTCATGATTGTCGAGTTTCTCAACATTCGCTGTTATGTTCCTGCTGCTGCTGCTTTCAGCGCTCAGTATTGTATAAAGTGCTTTGAGTCTCAGAAGCCCTGTCATTACTGAGCTCAGGTCATGATGAAGATGAAGATGAAGATGAGCAGCTGCATTGACTTCTCGAAGGTTTTGGGTGCTGCCCTCTGGTGGTTACAGAGGATGTTTACAGAAAACCCCACGCTGAATGAAATGTGAATATCTATCTGATGCAAAACATTCATTTCTGACACAAACTCAGACGCTTGGGGTCAGAGGTCAAGGGTCAGCCGCACCTGTGGTGAGTTTGCTGAGCTGATTGAAGAGCTGATTTAAACACACCGCACTGAATGCTGAGAGATCCTGTGAGGGTCAGAGTTATTACAGCTAACTGAAACCATAAAGTTATAACTTGACAAAATAAATATTCACTGAAAATAACTTCAGCTAGTTTCCACGGCAACATTCATATGATGATTTTTAATGTTTATGACTGTTAGAGCGCCACCTATGGCCGGAGTTTGCAAAAGTAGGTTTTTTAAAATAATGTCAAATATTTAAAGAACAATTTGATTTACAGCAGTGGTCCTAAAGGCAAAGTTGTTCAGAATGAGCAGACCGGTCGTACGGTGTGAAGATCTAGTGTATGCATCAATACGTGAACATTTTCTGCAATTTGAGGTCATTTACCATAGAAATATAGTGTTTTTGAAGCCTTTTTGACTGTTATATGTGTGAAAAACCACGCAATATACAACCATTTACACCCTTGAAAAATGCTCCATCGGCCCCCCCAGTGGCCGATTTCTTTCAAATTTCTCACAGACCTTTAGGGCCGCGAGTCAACAGGCCCTCTGAGTTTCATTCCAATCGACCTGCGTTAACCTTGTCTAATGAGTGCTCAAATTTCATTGGCCAATGGCGGCCATGTTTTTTTAGATAAGCAAATGTCCTTATAGACACCTGTGGCACTTTGGACAAAGACACTGCATATCAATTTTCACATTGATCGGACAAATGGTTGCGTAGTTATAGCCATTTTTATGGTTTTTCCCGTCTTATAGCGCCACCAAGTGGCCAAGCTCCGTGATTTTTTTCATGTGACCTCAGATTGAGCTCCTACATGAGTGTTCTGAGATTGATGAAGACTTCGCATGCCGTTCAAGAGTTTTAGCCGTTTCAGTAAAAGCGTCCCTGTCCCTTTTGAACGTTTTGGTGTCCGTTTGCGACCGTGAGACGAAAGTTAACTTTTTTTTGATAATTATTGATATTCAGTCTCCAGAGAATCGGTCTGCACTGGTTTGGTTCCAATCGGGCGGAAAAAAACTTGGACTAGTTCGCAAAAGTAGGTTTTTCTAAAAATCCTAAGTTTCTAAAAACTTAGGAGTTATGAGCGATTTCGCACTTGTGATGGCTGTAGCGCCCCCGTCAGGCCGATTGGGGCAAGTTTTGGTGACATTGTAGACGGCGTGAGTACTACCATCTCTCCAAGTTTCAAGTCTCTACGACTTACGGATTGCTCTGATCAGTGGAGATTGCTGATCCTTGGCCATTCGAACAATTACGCCCCGCGCTTGAACCCCTAATAAACAAAAATAAAGGAAACTGCCACATTTTATCTTTTTCCATGCAGTTCTGAGGAAAAAAAGTCACAGTTACCTTTTTTAATTTTCATTCTGTGATGGAAGCAAGATTCCATATTTGTGGCATCATTAGTTCTGATTAATTAAGCCTATTTAATCCCTAATATTCATATTTGATTTTTCCTCCATTGATTTTCAAAACAAAGTTCATTATTTAAATCTTGCTCCACATTGATTTTATGAGCTGAACTCAACTGATTCACACAGTTAAGGTTAAATGATTAAAATGGTTAAATGGACCATTAAAGACTACCTGAAGGAAAACAGCGCACACATACCACTTCCACTTATCAGACTCCTTGTCTTTCTTGTCCTCCTTCTTCACCTTTTCTTTCGTCTCCTCCTCTCCGTCTTTCTTGGTCTTGTTCTTCTCTGCTTTGTCATGTTCAGAACTTGTCTTGTTCCTTTTCTTCCCAGACGGCTGATTCTTATCGTCGCGTTTCTCTCGGCTCTTTTAATCTTTGACTCTCTTCTTCTTTATCTTGACAGGTGCCGTGACCCGGGGTTCATCCATCTCCTGCTTCAGCGCGGCCTCAGATTCACACTTTCATCTGTCCCAACGGTTACTCATCACCAGTCAAACATCATTCACCGCGGTAAGATCATCCACTAACGACACCTGATTTGAGTGTCTGTTGCTCTTGTTTTGGAGGTTTCCATCCACGCTGCAGAGCTCCAGATCTGCAGTCAGCTCGCTCTTCTACTTGTGATTGTGACGCTCCTTGCAGCTTTTTGATCGAGTCTTAGAATCAATCACAAGCAATTAAATAAACCATCATTGAAACCTGTAGACGTGGCCATTAAAAGCAAACACTTGAAATGGTCAAATCAAAATACCTTCTGTTTGTTGTTTTCTGGTGAACTTGATTTCTGCTGTCCATCATTTCTGATTGAAAGAAACAGTGCACTATTTCTAACAACTTGCTCGATTAAACATTTCCATATTCTTAGAAAGTTAAATTCATTGTGACTAATATTTTTTCCATTGCTTTGCACCATTAATCAAACACAACGTCAAATTGAGATCTCTTGCCTTTCATCAGGATCTACTTTGACATCCTGCAAAATGAAAATGCAAAATTAAACACTTTTAGATTGAAACTGAGGTATTTCTCATATATTTTAAGTGAATTATGAGCCCTTACCTCATGCGTGTCATCATCTCCTGCTTTATATTTCACTCATCAACATGAGACTATTGATTGACACAGAACTATCGGAGAACGTTATCAGAACGTTCCGGCAACGTTCTCGCAAAGTTATGAACAAACGTTCTTCCAGTAACATTAAAATAATTTTCATTCAAAGTTTTGTTTTGGTCTTTAATAACGTTCTCAAAAAATATTTTTTGTGAAACGTTCTAGTTGGACAGTCATCTAATGTTTTTTAAATGTTACCAGTTTCAGAACGTTCAGAGAACATTTAAAAGTAACATTCCCATAATGTTTTCAAAATTATCAAATCAAATGTTCCTTTGATGTCTGCATAGCCAAAAATGTTTTATAAACACTTCAAAAACGGGGCGCTCGGAGAACATTCTTGAATAACGTTTTCATAACTGTGATGGGAATGTTAGCGAAACGTTCTCTGAAGAGGTTTTACTGTAGGACACGCACCTGCTGACTCCAGATTGACTGCTTCACCTGTTAATGACAGACTCATTAGACTCACTCACACTCCTTCATTAAATGATCTCCTGATGGTTTTACCTTTGAGGAGGGTTTGTGTTTGCCGTTCAGCTCCCTGTCTTTAGAGGAGTGTTTGGACTTATCTCTGACACACACAGATCTGAGTTACATCTAGATCTGTCTCTGTCAGAAAGAGATGCATTAACGAAAACACTAGTGTGCTATTTATGGAGGCTATATCTTTAACACCAAGCATTTCTGCAGACTCTGTTGATCTTCTCCTTGATTAATTTAACTCAAAAGTTAAGAATGTCATTGATGATATTGCTCCTGTAAAAGTCAGTAAGAAGTCTGGCAGACAGAAATCAGCTTGGAGAAAATCAACAGCAGTTCAGAGTATGAAAAGACGATGCAGAAAAGCTGAGCGGATGTGGTGAAGACAAAACTTGAAATTCACTATAGCATATATAAAGACGGGTTCACACAAAACAAGGGGAGTCCGCTTTTAGTTATTATGCCGCCCGCAGTTGGAATCAGCTTCCATAAGAGATCAGATGTGCTAAAACATTAGTCACATTTAAATCTGGACTCAAAACTCATGTTTAGCTGTACATTTACTGAATGAGCACTGTGTGATGTCCGAACTGATTGCACTGTTTTATTTATAATAATTTTCTGTTTTAAATTAATTTTAAACCTCTTAAATAATTTTCAGTTTTAAATTCCTTGTTTTATTGTTGTGATAATTTTTTCATTTCTTTTATGTAAAGCACTTTGAATTATCATTGTGTATGAAATGTGCTATATAAATAAACTTGCCTTGCCTAAATCAACATGCGAGAAATCTGTTCCACTCGTACGATTAATCGGATCTTTCTGACCTTCTATGGTGTCTTCTTTTCCAGTTTCATCACGTTAACTCGTATTTTCTGTAAGGATAGTAAATGAGTGTCTAATTAACCATTTGCATCAGAAGCTGCAAATGAAAGCAGACTTCTAATGATCTGCGCAGACGGAGTTAATGAGTTGTCTAAACTCAACTGCATATGTGAAGTCTCTTTGTACCGGAGGATCTCACCGCGGCATCAGAATGCACGTCACCTGTCACACCTGAAAGGTTTCAAGTTCCTCTTGCAATCAACTGCGAAAAATCAGACACAGCGCCACCTGCTGGAACAAACTCACCTGAACCTGAAGAACACCTACTTATCTTGTCCTTTCAAAGATCATTCACAAGAATTTCCATGACATTTGGAGTTGTTTGTGATTATTGGA